GGGTCAAACATGAGCTCAGGCTGCCTGGTTCCCCTCCCCTAGTGCTGGGGGGTGCTGACGGCAATGGCCTTTCCGACCTGGGGGGCTGGAGACGGAGTTTGGAACTAGGCCTCTTAGATCGCTAGCCCAGACCACGCAGTGCAGCCCAGCTTACCTGCGTTCTGCTTTGGAGTTTGCGGCCAAACCTCAAGCTAACAATAAAGCTGCTGGTCATTGCCCTTGGAACTTGTCTCCACTGAGGACCTTGTGGGTTTGGTTTGGGCATAAGAGTCAAATGTCCCTTGGATCCCCTAACCATAATGGCCAGCATATTACCCTAAGTTTACCCCAGCTTCTGACAAAGAACGTTTGTTGTAAGAAAACAAAAACAAGTTACTTTAAGCAAGATATTATGTGGTGTGTAATAGATCTAATATTGTTTCTAGGAATGCCACCCTGTCCCTAAACCTATTAAAGCACGGGAGCAGCCCTAAATGTCTTCAGTGTCCTATGAAGCGCTGTGCTTCAGATCATGTTCCCACTGGCACTGGCATCTGTCTTTGTGGGACCACAAGGCTAATGGCCGGCTCATTCATCCGCCCATGGCAGTTTCTAGTTCTCTGTCTTGCCCAATTGCCCTGCCTCTCTCCCCATCTTGCTACCCAGTGTGTTTCCTCTTCACTCTTATTCTCAGTCTAAGATCCAATCAATCCCTTCATTCCTGAGTGAACTTGCTGCGTCCATGCCTTGGGGAGGTCTACACGTTCCCACTCGCTTTAGAAAAACAGAGCATTGCGCCGTGTACCAGAAGCGGCCGATGAACAACTTGAGACCCACGAGCCCCCTCCTCTTTGTCCAGGCACTGCCACAGCGGTGAGCTCCACGTGGGCTTTGACCCGTGTCATGCAGGCACAGCCTGGCAGCACCTTGCTGTGGGTCGGCTCCACGGACCTTCCACTGCGTACTCCAGGGAAACCCGCTGGGCACCCACATGTGCACAACCAAGAAAGGCAGGAAAGTTAACGATGGGGGGACACCCTTGACCAATGGGAGATGGAAGCCGGTGGGTAGGTGCTTTTCTCTCTGACTCCCAGTGGAGGGTGCTGGGACACTTCTTACTATGTTCCTCAGAAAGTCTCAGTGGGACTGACCACAGTCATGTGGCCTTTACCTGTGGCCAGCCCTGTAACATGTCCTGGCATTAGCCTTGCTCCTTCCTGTTTTACTCCCCCGTCTCTCACTCCTGAACCCCAAGGTCATTCCCAAGTAAAACACCTGCATGGCAGACTTTGGGTCAGCTCTGCTTCCAGAAAAGCCAGGCCAGGAATCCTGGGAAGGCAGTGGGGGTGGGGAGAGGGCACAGTGGGCGACATTCTTCTATTGTTTGATTCTTCTATTGTCTGGCCAGCCTGTTATCCAAGTGGAACCTCCATTAGAAGTAAGAATCAGTAGGTACCAGCCATCACTGCAAGCTGGGTCATCTCTCCCCCAACAACCCGCTTCCTTACCCTTCCGTCACTCTGCTGCCCCCAGATCTCCACAGCTGAGCCCCCTGACCTCGCTACCTACAGATGCAGCCCAGCTCATGGCCTCGTATATGAAGTACTGAAGGGTCGTCAACCTATAGTCTCTCGGAAACCCTCCAACTACAATCTGGGGTTCTGGGGAGAATGGCACACCCACACTTATCCAATAGTGAGAGAGCCAAAGGCATTGCTTCTGATCAAGGAACTGATTTTACAGGAAATGAAGTATGACAGGGGGCCCATGCTCACAAATTCCCTGGTCTTAGCATGTTCCCTACCATGCTAGAGTGGAGAGGGGGTCTCCACAGCTGACCTTCTTGGCCTTGTTTAGTGTATCACAGGTTCTGAGTCAGACAAACCAGCCTTCAGTCCTGGCTCTGCATCCGTTACCTGTGTGACCTCAGAGAACGTCCTAAACATGCACCTCTAAACTGCGGCGTCTTCACCAAGAACTTCAAAGATTCTCTGTGACTTAGATCAAATAAAGCATGGAAAAAAAAACAATAGCGTGCAATTTCAAGAAAAAAAAATCAGCAGCTATTATAATACTATTCACTGGTCTGCCATACCCTAGTAGAGTTCGGAATGCCACCCGTGTGTGCCTCTGTTTAGGCTCTTGTTAAATTGTGTTGTGTCTGTCTGCATATCTCACTTCCCCTTTAGAATAGTAAACATCAAATGAATGGAAAGTTACACAGGAAAATAGAAAGGAAAGCATTTTTATGACCTGTAAACTACTGTCCAAATGTTAGTTAGAGGGGCCTGCGGTCCAGCAGGGGAACAGACACATGTGAAACCAGCTCTGAGCAGAGGGGTGAGATGACCCAGCAGCTGTGAACCACGTGCTTGGGAGCCACAGACTCTCTCTGAGAGCAGAGAGAAGAGGAGGTTCAGTACTTGTCAGGGAGGCCTTCGGGTCTGAAGCGATTGGGGTCCTTGCCTCTCCGGCCCCAGTCGTTGGCAAGCTTTTGGGCCACTGAGCCCTCTGCTCCGTCGCATGTGAGTTTCTGGATACCCTCTCTGACACTGCTGTTATAAAAGCAGGCAAGAAGGAAATTAATCATCAGGCCAATGAGCAACAGTTCACCCTCTCGTGCTCCTCTGTCCAGGGAAGGGCTCTTAGAGGAGCCCAGGAAAGCCAGGTAGGGAGGGGCTGAGCCCTCCTAAGCCCAGGCTGGGCATCGTTTTTCAGGGCAGGTTCATACATCTTCACCAGCCACGCTCTGGCTCTGCCGTCAGCCTAGGCCTTGCACTGGGCATGGATGGGGGACAGGGTAGGCATGAGGAGGGGGCCAGGCCCTACAGGAACCTGCTCAGGGCCCATCTCTGTGGATCCCCCAAGCAGGCAACCCCTGGCACTCACAGCGTCATCCCCGGGAGCCCGAGTTACCTGATCAATTTTGAAGCCCAGACACCCCCAGGCCCCCTCTGCGCAGCATCATAGTTCCCCCGAGCGTGGAAGTATTTGCCTGAATCTTGGTAATTGGCTTCTTTCATGTCAAAGTAGGCTCTCAATATGTCCCAAGCCCCTGGAAAGAAAGGAAAAGGCATAAGGGACACCAGGTGAACCCAAAGACTCTGATAACACTTCAGAGAGGAATCAAAAAATGAAATATCTTCCACTGACTTTAAGATTTGAGCCTGTGATGCTAGCACCCTTGCATACCGTGAGTTGGGAAGAACATTGCTTAATCCTAGTTGGCTTCTCTAGGTAACTTGAGTCAAGGGACAGCTAACAGGTGGTCACATGTGTGTTGCATTGTTGTATTTTGTGACTGACTACTCTGGTGCTATGTGCTACTTCTTACTGAGGGCTCCAGGTGATGTGTTTAAAGGAGGGAACTCTTGGAGGGATCATAATAGAGCAGGATTCCTCAATGTCCCCACTGTGGAAATATAGGGCCAGGTAATTCTTTGATTTCGGGGCTGTCCTGGGCATTGTGGGATGTTTACCACCATCCATGTCCTCTACCCACTAGATGCTGGCAGCACATTCCCCAGTGAAACAACCACAGATATTTCCCAATATTGCCAACTGTCCCCTGGGCCACCCCATTGCCCCGGTCAAGAACCACTGTTATAGAATGAAGCCACATGTGGTAAGATCCAGGAACGTATATGAGCGAGGTGGCGACATGGAAGACAGAGTCTGGGAAAGGCTGTAGAAATAGCGTACTTCTCCCCTGACACACAAAACAACATTCTTTCACTGAATGCACAGAACTGTGAGTTGAGTCCCTCTGACTGTTAGGAGCATAAATGTCCCTTACAACTGTCTAAATAAACTGTACTGATGTCTCGGTTGCTTGAGGAAGCCCTAGAGCAGTGGTTCTCAGCCTTGGCTGTGCTTTCTTTCTTCTTCTTCTTTTTTTCCCGCCTTTATCACAGGCTTGTTCTACGAATGGCTGCACTTTCTAATCACCTGGAGAGAAAGAGAAAATCCCAATACCAAGGCCACCCCCCAGGCTAATTTCTGCAGAATCCTTGGGACTGGGGGTTGCAGGCATGGGTAGTTTTAATGCTCTGCAGGTGACTCCAATGTGTGGCCAAGATCGATAACCACTAAGCTCTAGCAGGTAGTGGGCAGACACATCTACCTGGAAGAGCTTTGCCCTCCTGCACAGCTGACCTCAAACTTCTGCTCTGCCACCTGCTGGCCAGCACTAAGTCCCCGGGCAAAGGACTCAGTTGCTCTAAGCCTCAGTTTTCTTACCTCCAAAGTGGGGGAAGATGCCTGCCTCACAGAGTTATTCTAAATTAAACGAGAAAACACTCAGTTTCCTGCAGAACTTGATGTATGTCAGTTCCCATTTCCGGTCAAATGGGCTGGAAGAAGGGAGGAAACTGATCTAGCCAGGAAGGGGACATGGCCAGAGCTAGGCTAACGGCCCCTTTAAATTATCCAGTGAGGAGAAAAGGAAGGAAGCGGGGAAGGAGAAAGAATAGAAACGTGCTAACAGATAGCTTTAATTATACTTTTATGTGATTTGTTCTGAAGGACATTATATGCCAATTCTTGGCCTTATTTTGTGTCTTCTAAACAAAAAAAATAGCTGCGCTTCACCTGGGAATGATGATTGTTTGTTCCCTGAGTAAATTAATGACACAAATTCTAAACTTTCTACTCTGTTTGCAGCTCCCAAAACACCTGGCATGTTCGGGCACATTGGGCAGCACAACCTAAGACGGTCGCGCAAACCTTGACATGTTCACAAAACACTCTGCGCTTCCTTGTTCCTGGATCGCCCCCCACCACACCTATGGCTCAGGAGTGTGCGTTATTGATAAACATCGCAGCAGTTTCTGGAACACGTGTTAGACCCACGAACACAGCCCGAGAAACACTGAACTAGGGGACAGGAGACATTCTAGCCAATCTAAAGGAGCTGAGCTGGGCCACCCAGCACACCCTTAGTTCATCACAGTCCCGTAGCAACACAGAAACTGATAACTCTAGAAGTCTAAAAACAGCCTTCTGAGAGCATCGTTGTGCCATTCGATGCGGTCCAGGGTGGTGTTTCTCTTCGGGAATCCTGTGTGCCTTCTCCCTTCCAGACACTCTGGCAGACTCCAGCGGCCTGGCCCCCGCCCACCCCCGGGGCCCTGATGCAGGGCGGGATCTGTGCCTGTGCAATGCGCCACCAGGGGGCAGCACAGCACCACGGGGCGACCCAGAACCTGCCCTGACCTGAGCACAGTATCCACTACTGACCTGGGGTGGGGACCCCACAAGCAGGTGCCAGGGCCTCCCTGTCCAGCTGGAGAATGACTGATGGGAAAGCCTCGCCCCCGCTCTGCCTCTCTGTGGCTCCTCTAGCGGTCGCCCATATGCACCAGGCACGTGGACCCTACTCGAGGGTGAATCCCACGGCCCGTGGACGCAGCCTCCTCCAGCAGCCTTACCTCCAGCAGCCTCACCAAAGAATGAAAACCAGCCGCTGACTCCCAGGACCAAGGAAAAGAAAACCAGGCCCGTGAGAAGCTTCATGGTGCTGAAAAGAGAGGAGAGGGTCAGGCGGTCACCGTCCACACTGGCACGTCCCCCTTTTGGATTTGTATTCCAAAGGCAGCCTGGTTGTTTAATTAAGTCCATTGGTTCCTATTAGAATCTTAGCGGCTCATGTAGGAAGCCTTGCAGGGGACCTCAGAGCCACAAGCCCTCAGGTGTGAACCCCTCAGCCCTGAGCCCTGAGTAAGAGGATTCCAGGTGGAGGAAGAGGGGTTAGGACAGGATGGCCCCTCCCTGAAGGAGCTTGTAGTTCCCCAAGGAGAATGCCCATGTGTTCCCTCCGGCCATCACAGAACTCACACAGGATACATACTGGAAATGATGCGTATTTTTAAAAGACAATGACAAGCTTGTTTGCTAAGAGAAAATGAAGTACATTTTCTAAAAAATCACTCTGGAGTCCTTGCTCACCTGATTTCTGGAGGAGCAGAGCTGCCGGTCCCTGCCTGCCAGGGAGCCGGGGCTGCTATTTATACCGAGCCTTCCCTGTGGGGTCATGTGAGGGATGAAAAGGTCATGGGGACAGTCCATCCAGGTCATTTCCCCCACAAAAGTCTGTCAGGACACTTCCTGGACACCAGTGTTTTCTTCATCCACAGGTCATTTTCCCCAGTTGTGCAACCTACCGAAACAGGATAGGTTTGCTCTGCCCTGGCAGCCGTGGGGTGGGGGGACGGGTTTGCTCCTCAGAGTTCCAGGAGTCCAGGCTGCAGGGAAGGGGGTAGGGACCCGGTGATGGTGGCACCCGGGCTGCTGGAAGGTGTGGAGTGGATGGCGGCTCTTCCACCCAGCACCTGCCTTACAGGTCATTTTCTCAGGATGGCCCCTGCTGGGCCAGACAACAGATGTCTCAGAAATTAAGTCCCTGTGAGTTGATGTCTAAAGCCTTTGAGCTTTTTTACTTACAGCCCAGCCCTGCCACCTCTCCTTTGTGTCCTGGAAGGTCCCTCCACCAGCCTGTCTGGGCATCCTAAACTCTCAGCTCCAGGGCACAGAAAAACCCTGCTCGGCTGGCTTAGCCAATTAGGCAATGTCTTTTCCAAGTGGCTCCTGGTTGGGGGCAATTTCGAGGAAGGGGCTTTCTGCCTACCCCGTCCAATCATGCAGAATGTAGGGGTGAGGGGAAACTTGCCCTTTCCCCTAAAAGTTCCTGAAACATCCACTCACAGTTAAGGGAGATTAATAAGATAAAGGTTTATTTACCATGCGCATGGAGAGAATCACAGAGTGATTACTCAATATCCCAGTGAAGTTCAGATATTTTTAAACCTGTTTTTTTGGAGGGGAGGAGAAGTGAGGAGTGCAGGTAATTGTGTTTAGGAGTGACAAATGGTGTTAGGGAGGACATATGTATGGGGGAAACAGATTGACTTGTAAATTAACCTCGGAGACAGGTATTGTGTTTAAAATCATTTGGGCCAGGCCTGGTTGAGTTCTTGATCTTCTTTCCTGCAATATATACAGCTAACAGGGAGAGGAAGGGAAGTCAATTGCCCCTTTGATCTTTTGATCAGGTCAATTTGGTTTATGTAGATAGAGGGAAGGCCTCTTTCAAGGGCCTGTTATTCTCTAAGAGCCTTTAATTCAAAATTTTCTTCATACCAACGAGTCATATTTTAGGGTGAAATTTCCTGAGCTCCCTCATTCTTTTTGTCTGGAACTTCCCTACAAGTTTCACACATTAAAAGCTGAGTTGATAGCTGTGGAGAGAGAGATCGGGTTAGTAGTCAAGTAACAAGAAATGTGAAAAGGGAGACAAGAACATAGATTAGAATGAGAATGAATAAGTAGAAAAGAACAGATCTAAGCACAGTTCCCCACACTCCATTAAACCAGTCTGCCATTCATTAATCTGGTGGAGAATATTTATCTTGTCTTTTAAGATGCGTACATCACATTCTCTACTCATCCTGAGTGGCAAGCATTTTCACCAATAATCATGCAAGCTCCTCCTTCTTGGGCTGTCAGGCATCCAGGACCAGGTGGTTTTCAAATATCACAGAGGCTAGGCTGTTGACTTCTAACTGAAGTGCTCCCAATGCTTGCATGGTGATACTGAACTCTCGTTGCACTACCACAGAGAGATTCAAAACTGCCTTTTCAATCTTATGAGTTCCAAATGCCAGGCAAAGAGTCCTGAGCAATAAAAAGAACTTAGAATTGTGATATATAAGTGGGTTTTTTATAATGTCACATCTAGTAAGTTTGCTTGGTACCACTTTATAAACAAAAGAGCCCAAGTTTGTGATTTGGCTGACATGTGAAGTGAAGTACCTGGTAACAAAGGGTGTCAGATAGCCAAGTCCATGGTGTCCTGATCATCTAGGTGGAAACCGCTTGTATACTTTATCACCACACAAGATAAAAAGACCAGTGTAATTTACAGATAGGGTCAGGTTGGAACCTGTGACCACCTCTGCCCCCACCCAGTCTGTTGTATGCTGTGCCTCTTCTGCCTCATTGGCACTTCCATACCTCCAGTTTCCAGTGTCCCTGCCAGTTTGTGGAAACAGAACAGGTTGTAAAATATTTGGTATAGAAGTCCTTTGGTCCAGTTCTGGCAGTTATAAGGCTTGGTTGTGTCACTTAAGCAAGTCAATCCAGACTTTTGTTCTGTCCTTATGCAATCTTTAGTGTCCGGCAACTTAACAAGTGGAGCAAGCGAGCTATCCCAAGTTGTACAGACCTGGCTTGTGAGCTTTCCATAACATCTGGTGATTTGACAAGTGTTGACATCATGAGGGTTAGTGTCAGCACTGTCTAAGAGTGCAAGGATGCCATCTGTGTAGCCAAACCATAGTGTTTGATGGCAATATCACCCTATTGTGTCACCCAGAAAAGACTGATATCATCAATGTTTTCAATGCAGAGGGAAAATTTCTTTCTAGTGACTTTACCTGAGCAAAAGATATTTTTCTTGAGCTTCCACAGAGGTTTTTCTGTGTCCGGTTGACTCACCAACAGGAGAACCAGCATGATGTTTTTTTCCTCTGGTTGTGGATGTCACATCTTGTCATACATCCATCTTCCAGACTGGTCCCACCAGGTACTCATATTGGCAGAAACAAAATGAGTTCAGGTCCCTTGGCATGATCTAGGTGTTGGCATAACCAGCTATTAGATTGATTATGTTATGTCAGTGTGGCCAGGGTTTGAAAGAATGACGTAAGGGATGCCGGGTCTGTGCCTGACCTGCTGGAGAAACAGTAAGGGTTAGTAGAGCAAGGCATAGTTTAAAAGAAGACTCATAGTGGAAGATGAAAGGGAGAATGGGATAGGTTGAGGCAATCTCCACTCAGCTTCCAATGTGCAATCCTTGAAGGGGGAGGCTTAAAAGAAAAAGTGTTTGAAAAGGACCATTTTGGAGGTGGGGGGGAGGTAAAAAGAAAAAGGGAGTTTTTAGATGAAAAATGGAGTTTCTTGATCCGTGATTTTGGGAAAAAGCCATCTACGTCGTGGAGACGTCTGCTTCAGAGGCCTGGGAATTAGCCCTGGAAATCCTTACTTTAAGGTCACCTGTAGGGGTCGTCCTCCAATCGTTTGGCATGGCTTGTGTGAATCCAGGAGGATTGTTCTTTTATTTTTATGGCGGTGTAGATAGTTAACAGTACTTTGTAAGGGCCTTCCAGAGAGGTGACAGCACGTATCTTCTTGTAAAAACTTCGATGTACACGTGAGCTCTCGGTCAAACAGGATGACAAGGCCTGTCAGTTGGTGGAGGCCACGCTCCTTTCACCCGTCGATGACATGCTGCAAGCACATTAGTTAGTTAGGGCCTCTATGTAGCTAGTCATGGTGTCGGATTGTTCACTTAGATCCCCACAGTGTTCAGTCAGCCCAGGAATGGAAGGTTTAGAGGTGCCAGTAGACAGGGGAAGACCGAACACTGTTTCAAAATGGGTTAAACCGTGTCTCCTAATTGGAGCATTCTGGACTTTTATAAGGGCTGAAGGTAATGCTTCTGTCCATTTAAATCCAGTGTCTTGAGAGACTTTTCTCAAAGTCCTTTTTATTTCTAGACTTTTACATTCCACTTGTCTTAGGATTGGGGATAATATGGGGTATGAAATTTTAATAAGTATCCCCAATCCTTCACGAGCAAGTGGTTTATTTTTGCTATAACTTGAGTCCCTTGATGTGACTCAATCCATAAAGGAATACCAAAACGAGGAATAATCTCAGTTACTAATTTCTTTACCGCTGCTGTAGCATCAGCTCGTCTGGTTGGATAGCGTCCAGTCTATCTACTAAGCATGCAAACAGTAATCCAGCAGTGAGAAAAGCCTCAAGCTGGAGGTAAATTTATAAACTAAATTTGGAGTGTCATAAGGGGCAGTCTGGGCCTTTGGGAGCTTCCTGGAGAGTGTTGGTTTCCTCCAGAGATTTCAAGAGATTTACAAGTAGTGCCCTGGGAAATAATTGGGTCAGAGATATTGTAGGTCCCAGGGCAGTACCAACTATATATATATATTTATTTCTTAATTATCCCCCATTTGCACTTCTGTTCCATGGGATGGAAGATAATGGCAAGTCAAAAAGTTAAAAGAAAAGGGGCCACAGGGACCCTGTTTGGCCCCATATACAATCTATCTGATATTATAGGTCTATTGGCAATAGGAGTGTCAGCAGAAATTAAGAAATGAGATTTCCAAATTGTGCCAAGTGCATGGCAGACTCCAAAGGCATATTTGGAGTCTGTGTAAACAGTGGCAGCTTTTCCTTTTGCCAATGTGCAAGTTCTAGTGAGGGCTATAATAAAATTGATTCACAGCATTTTGGGGCAAGCTTTTCAGTGCCCTGAGATTTTTTGTTCTAAGTAACAGTTGTCCGTACCCACTAGAGTCTAAACCTAGAGGCTTTATAGCCTCGTTCAGCTAGAGTCTTTAAAAGAATGAGTCTAAGAGAGTGCCCTGTTTACAGAGCGAAAGATCATCAACATATTAAAGATCATCAACGTAAGTACTGAACGAGAGTGGATCTCTGGGTAAAGATTACAGAGTGTCAATCACCTTAGAGAATTTGAGAGAATATTGAAGGAGACTCACGGTATCTCTGAGGTATGCAGGTCCATGTTAACTGTCTTCCTCTGAAGCTGAGTGGAAAGAGAAACTGTGAATCAGGGTTAACAGAATCAAAATGAAACTTAAGGAGAGGTCGATTACTGTATTCTTAAAGTCACATGAACTAGAAAGCATTTGAGTTAGTTTCTATCTTCTTGATAAAATATTTGATTTGAGAGCTTATTATTTTAAGCTAATTAATTAGAGCTCTTTTATATACTCTGGTAGTGAAATATCGTATACAAATGACATATATAGACACATAGACATACAGACAGAAGCAGTTCTAATAGCTCTTATAATTTTTATTTGCTGGCTCTAAATATTACTATTTCTTAAAATTCAGACTATCAATCTTTTAATTACCTATTTTAAGCAATTACTAGCTAGGCAACAATCTTGCCTTCAGTAAGATTTTGCCATTTTTGTAAGTGTCTGCTGCTTTCGGGGCTTAATACTTACACATGTATAGGTAGGCATTGTCAGAGAGTACTCAGTTCTCCAGAAATTAAGGGTCCTATTTTCACCTTGAATCTTGGCTTTGGTTCTCAGATCTCCATGATCAACTTAGGCCATGATTTTTCCTTACTCAAGCACACGGAAAAAGGAACAAAGGGATAGAACACAGAAATCTCTGTGAATCCCTAAAAGCTGAACACAGAAATCTCTGTGAATCCCTAAAAGCTGGCATTTGTAGCCCCTGTAGTGTTGCCATTTACTGTTAGTTTCTGCCTGACCCAGTCAGACATTTGAGGCCTCTAAATGGACCTAAGCTAATTAATTATCAGATCCAGTCTGATCCCAGACCTAGTCTGATCCCAGACCTAGTTTAGTTTCTGTTGTGACTTCTGAACCCAGTTAGGATCAAAAATTTGCTCAAACAAACTTAGATGGTTCAAAACACAAATCCGTGGCACTCAGAATCTGAGAGAGAACTTACCCACCAGCCTCAGTTGCATGAGGAGCAAAGGACAACAGGTCCAGCGGGTACCTCGCTTGGACTCTCGGTGTTCCTGGGGGTCTCTGGGAGATCGATCTCAGAACCCACTTGTGATAAAGAGTACATTTAACGGAGTTTAATTAAGCCAAGAGCAATTCACAAATTGGGGAGCTGAACTAGAACAGGTTCAGAGAGACTCTAATGTTGAAAAGATTCATGGACAGAGAAGAGACAGTGAAATACAGAAAACAGAAACAGCGGAATTGGTTCCAGCTCAGCGTTGGCCTTACTTAAATACAGTTTAAACAGCTGGCTGCCTTTGATTGGCCAAAACTCTATGATCGGCAAAGAGGAAGGAGTAGAAAGGAGTGAAGATGAATGGAGCAAACTTTAGCCAGGACAAACAGCTGACATTTTTGCTTTTGAAATTTTAAACTAAAATATCCTTTTAAGTAAAACCAATAAGGCTTAATCAAGGTTATAACTTAATCAGGTAAACAAGTGGTGTCTTTAAGGAGGTGGAGAAAGTTTTTACAAGATCTAGAAAAGCCACACAAAAACAGCTCAAAGAAAGAAAAGCCTCAAATTGTCATAAATGAGGCATAACCCACAATTCTGTCCAGTCACATTCTCTAGGGTCCCAGCTTTTCAGCTGACAATTCATACATAAATACCTAAAAGTCCCATATGTCTCCACGGAAGACAGAAAAGCAAAAGCCATGCACAGAAGGGAAGAGAATCAATGAATGGCAAAAGTTGTGCAAATATCAAACCAGAATAGGCTCATTCCCTGCCCGGAAATCAAACCTCGCTTGCTGAGGTGAAAGCCCAGAACTTTAACCTTTAGGCCATAAGGCAAACTGGCCTCTGCCATTATTCCCACAGAAGCAGTGTTCAAAGGATTTTTATCACTGTTTTAGAACAGATACTCACTCTTCAATTTTGTCACGAGAATTTTTAAGGCTGGCCACAACATTCTCTATCTTTCTTTTAATCTAATTTCTTCTACTAATACAAATAAAGTAATTGTTTTGAATAAGAGATCAAAATTTATTTTGAAAAATTTAGAAGTCATTTAATTTAAAGGATCCATCTTTTGGCCATTAATCTCAATGGTATATTTATTCCAAAAGCAGCTCAATCCAATGCCTCTTCATAGAAAACCCAGGTGGTTATTTTCCGGGTTTAGGCTGGGGAGGGCACAGAGAAGGCAGTTTCCAAGATTCCCAAAAATTCACTCTCAGAAATAGACAAGGTAACAAAGAGGGTAGGACATTTTAAGACAAAGACCCCCCTGGAGCTTGACAGGTTCGGTACTAAGAGTGTGCTGCTTGCAATCTCACCTGTCTCGCACCCCGATCTTTTCAGACTGGCCGCCTGACATGTTCCCGAAAAAACATGCCCTCCAGATGGCAAATACTGAGGAGAAAACTCCCACTCAGTCACAAGACAAGCTCAGGGACATAAAACAGGATCACGGGTTTTTGTTTTCAGGGACCTGCAGCAAAGTTTGTTTTGATAAACGCCAGTCTAGTCAGAACCGTGTAACTGGCTCATCTGCAGGGCAGCTCCAACGTTGGGCTTATGGGATTCTAGGCCTGAGTTCTACCCTATGGTGACCCTCTTTATGACAAAAATGACACAGAAAGACAATCAACGAAAGAAAGAACAACAATGAAAGCTATTTAGGAGAGGAGAGGGAATCAGACAATATGAATATTCAAAGTACCAAAAAATATACCAATACCTTTTCTCTCATTAGTCTTAAATTTGGAAAGGACGATGATCTTTTACAGTCTGCTCATCCGGAGCCCACAGAGACAGGAAAACCGGGAGTCTGACTGGTAAGTAAAGTATCTTACCATGTTGCCGGCTGGTCAGAGTTCTGATTTTCCACACTGCGGCTGTCAGGAAAGCAGAGAGCCTTTGAGATCCTTCTAGGCTACCCCAAACTGTACGGAAGAGGGAAAACTTGCCCTTCCTTGCCCCCTAAAGTTCCTGAAAGACCAACACACAATTAAGGGAGATTAATAAGACAGAGCTTTAGTTACCACGTGCATGGGGAGAATCACAGAGTGATCACTCAGTATCCCAGTGAAGTTCAGATATTTTTATACCTATCTTTTTGGAGAGGAGGAGAAGTGAGGAGTGCAGGTAATTGTGTTTAGGGGTGACAAATAGTGTTAGGGAGGACATATGTATGGGGGAAACAGATTGACTTGTAAATTAACCTGAGAGACAAGTATTGTGTTTAAAATAATTTGGGCCAGGCCTGGTTGCGTTCTTGATCTTCTTTCCTGCAATATATTGAGATATTAATAATGGGGAGAGGCAGGGAAATCAATTGCCCCCTTTGATCTTTTGATCAGGTCTGTCTGGTTTATGTAAACAGAGGGAAAGCCTCTTAAAAGGGTCTATTAATCTCTAAGAGCCTTTAATTCAAAATACTGTATAAACCACGTAGTCACATTTTGGAGTGAAATTACCTGAGCTCCTTCAAGACCCGCACTGGGACAGTGAGAGTGCTGTGGGATAAACTGGCAGCCCAGCTGGGAAGGTACTGGGCTGCCATCAGGGGAAGGAGGACAGAGCTCTTTGTCTGCTGTAGTATCTGGGGAGGGGTCACTGTCTGCCAGAAACATTGGCAGGGTCAGTCCAGCTCTGCAGGGGCTGGTGCAGGAGCACAGGGCCGAGAGAGGCTCAGTACCAGAGCTCAGCAGGGCTGCGGCCAGGAAATGCACACAGCCTGGTGCACATAGCAGTTCCTCTGCTTTCTTCCTCTGCAGTCCATCTGCACTTGGAAGTTCATTTCCAGTGCTTCTATTTTCCAGTGAAATAGGAAACAAAGTCATCAACTGAGACGAAGATGAAGCAGGAGGTGTTGGAAGTTTCAGGCAAGAAGCAAAAAATATTCATCTAGGGGACTGGGAGAGTGGCCGAGCATGAGAAAGGTAACAGGAATGCAAGCCGGCTCACCGTTAATGATCATGAATTTAAGGTAAGGCTAGCCACTATAGTTGTGCATTTTTTCTCTGACCACATTCAGCTACCCAGGTACAGACTTGTACTAAGTGAGAAATTGAGTGTCACTGCTCCATCAATAGCTGTTGAAGTAGTGAATGAATGAACACATGCAAAGGTCAAAAGGAGGGTTCGTTTAAGATGAGGGAGGTGGGAGGATTTCTTGAGCCCAGGAGTTCAAGGTTACAGTGAGCTATGATCCCCTCACTCTAACCTGGGTGACAGAGTGAATTCTCATCTCTGAACAGACAAACAAACAAAACCAACAAAAACAAAAATGAAAACAAAATGCAGGATTGTTATATGGTATAGGGAGAAAGTTAAGCAAGACGGAGTGACTGAAGTCAAAGATAGGGCATAACGTATACTTCCATGGCCAAGATCCCACAGGACCATGGGTGACGGGGCTGCCCAGAGTGTAGCAGGAGCAGGCCTTTCTCTGAGAAAGGAAGGAGACAAGAGAGAACAAGGAAGATGCATTTCGAGAGGAAGGATAGAGAACCCGAGGGAAACCAGAAGCACCTGTCCGTTACCTGTCATAGGACCCATCACTCTCTGCCTGTTTGCATTTCTGAGTTTGACCCCAGAGTGCACAAAACCCAGGGACAGGAACCTTGTCTGCATGATTGACGGGTAATCTGTTGTGTCTTTAACACCGAACACACGCCCCACCTATAACAGCTTCTCACTAATTTTTATTGATTCAGTGAATCAATGAGTGAATGAAGTAAGAGCAGAATATTCTGCATAGACTGATGGGCAGGGGGTTAAGAAGACTGGACAAGCTGTGAAACAGTGACGAATAGCAGTCATTTAGAGACAAACATGGACATTGTTAATGTGCAATTAAATCCAGCCTACTTGGAATAGTTGAATTTACTCAAAAAATGTATCCTGAAAGCAAACACCTGTCACACTCCACCGCTTCCATCCTGTTATAATAGTAATGCATCATCATCTGGATTATTAAGACTTCCCAACTGGCTTCCACGTTTCCACCTTTGCCCCCAACTAGTCTCTTCTCGACCAGACTGTTAAAACACAAGACAGCTGCTGTCCATCTCTGCCCAA